CCCCTCCCTCCCCCTCCCATTTTCTTTTGAGACAATTTTTTGCCTGTAAAACATTTCCTTTTCAGAAAATCTAATTTGCAGTGTCCAAAGCAATGCCCTGGGGCTCGGGGAGGGGGTGACTCCTTTATTTTTCTGTTTTTCCCTCTCCCCCAGCCTGCTCGGTCCCTTTCCTTGCTCCAACCGGGTGGGATGAGGTTGATCCCAGGGTTGGACCCCGTGCCTGCCTGGGTACCGTCCCCCAGGGCTGGGAGATGCTCTGTCCCCACGGTGTCGTGATTGCACAGGGGTGCTGGGGTGCACAGCGTGTCACTGAGCTGCTCTGGGTACCAGATAGGGTCCCCCATCCTCAGCCACCGGCAGAGAGGGTGGCAGGACCCCTGTTGAGTACCACACCATCGCTCACAGCCACCCAACCCGTTACTCAGCATCCCCAATGGCACAACCATGGGCCAAATCCTGCTGTCCTCGTGCTCAGAGGGCAGCGAGTCCCCCAGGTTGGGAATCCTGCTGGGGACCATGCCGGCCTGGTGCTCAGCATCCCCACCGGCACAACCTTTGGCCAAATCCTGCCACCCTCAGGCTGACAGAAGGGCTGGAGGAGCATCTGTCCCCAGCGGGATGTGGGCGCAGGAATTCGGGGTGGCTCTGGCCGTGTTCGGTCCACGACGGGGGGTGTGCACCCTGCAACTGCAGCTGCTGGAGCGAGTCCAGGCAGAGGATGCTGCTGCCTCCTGCATCCCCCAGCTGGGGCGCGCTGGGAGCAGCCACCGCAGCCCCCTCCCAAATGTCACCTGGGGCACAACCTGGGGGTGCTGAGCCCTCCCATGCCAGTCTATCCTGCCGAACTGGCTGTCGTGCTCACATCGCCTGCAGAAATAAACGGTGTATGTCCTGGAGGCACAGAGGGCTGTATCAGCATATTTAACGTGTGTCTTGCTCAAAATTGCTGCCTCAGCCACAGGCGTCTCTGTAGTTGGGGGTTTCCCAGGGTCAGAGCCCCCCGTCCCTGCTGCAAGCATGGGCAGGGGGAGGCCAGGTCTGGCAGTGGGGTGTCGGGATTGCGGGGGCCGCAAGGGCTGCACAGACCCTTCAGGGCGAGAGCACTGGGTGTCAGCATCGAGCTGGCCCCAGGAGCCAGCACGAAGCTGCCGTAGCAGCTCCTCCGTTTGCTTAATGTCAAATAAATGTATTAAACCTCCAACATCTCTCTCGCTTCCCTGAGTTCCTCATTTCCACCAGGTGCTGCTGGGGTGGGGGG